TTAATAGACAAGATTGATAATTATATATGAACTTGTCTGCAGAATTCCAAACCCTTTGAAACTGCTGATGTTGACAAAAGAAACTTCCCTGGCTGAAAACAAAACTGCATGTCTTCACCATAGGTACTCTTCTTGGAGGGAGATATGATTCCTTAAACTCAGTATCTCACTGACTCTTCCAATAAGTAATGAGGGCTGAACAAGATGAAGAGTTTTGGGAGTATATGTCATTATTCTAGGGCCTGTATGTTCAGGAAATGGCCAAAACCATCTGCAAGATATTTTTGGAGGTAATAAGCAACATGTCACTGAATGTTGCAGTGAAGGAGAAAATGAGAATTCATTTCCAGGCTCAACCTGGCTTGCTGCTTCCTTGTAATAAGAGACCATTTCAACACAGGCAGCTTATAAATAAAGTCTTCTCATCGAATGTGGAAAATATTGCACGCGTTGTGTAATGTATACGTTAAATAAAAAAGTCTCCCTTGTTGGATTGGCAGCTTGAGGCCGCTACATTAGCTCAACAGCAGAGCTGTGGGCCTCTTGGCCCCATCCCATCATCCCTAGCTTGGCTTGGGAAGTTAATTTTGAATTTGGCATGGGCACAAATTTATTTAAGGCAATGTTTGTTAGGTTCTAGCCAGTGGATGGAAAATATCGCATTTGATGCCCAAATTGTGACCTCCTGTGTGGAACTCCAGCAATGACTTCAAACTAAGAATAGGAGAAAATATAAAGTGTAGGCATAGATGTACTCAAGCAGTTTCAGCTACCATGGCTTCAGTCAGCTGAAGCACTCAGCAGCAGAGCCCTATATGAAATCCTAGTCTTACAGGATCCTGTGTGACTTGGCCCTAAATTCCTTATCAGCAAAAGCACTTTGATCTGAATTTACCGAACAAAAGGGGTTAACAAATAAGATTTTGCTAGACCCAAATTGCTCAAATTAATCTTTCTTTCCCCTTCAGTCAGAGTTGGCTGTCAGGTACTTTCAAGGACTTTTCTTTGAGCACATACAATTTTCTTTTCCCTTTTACTAAAAACAAATTGGCTGTGTTTCTGCACTGCTAACTCTATCTACCCTTCAGCAATTTTGCCCTCTTGCCTAGCTCTTCCTTTTGTAGATGACTAATATTGTCTCTCCTCATCTTTCTCACCCTCTTCCTGCTTCCAGCTCTCATAAACACTGTCATTGCCTTGGTTTCTGTGGCCCACATAAGCTTTGACCAGTCTAACAGTGTTACAGAACCACAATATCATTCCTGGGGAAGCAAAGGAACTTTAATAACAAGCTCCTTTTATGAGAGAAGGTAATCTTTCTGGGAAAGAAGAAATAAACTTGCTCTTTGTTTTGAAATTTCTTCTGTTTATTTTCAGCTAAACCCCATATTTTTCCCATGTTGTTAATGTTTTCAGGTGCCTTTTTGTTTTTTATGGTTGCTGTGACCTTAACGTTCATCAAAGCTGAATAGCTAAAATTGATTTGTTTTAGACATAGCAATAGAATGAGTCATGTCAGTAAACTTATTCAACCATTTACTGAAGTCTGGAGCCTCATATGCATTTTCAATGCATACATGCTTGAGAGGAGCCTTGCTTAATGGTTGCCCTAACAATGATATTCCTTCGGGTCCCTCTCCACTTCTGATGTACTCTTGCTACTGCAGTGTACTTGTGACTTTCCTCTGGTTTTTGGCATCCAGGATGACTTTGTGAAAGGGCCCAAAAGTAAAACCCTGTCTGGGGAGGAGCAGATAGTTAGCAACATCCAAGTTACCCTTTTCCCCCTTGGAGCAGGGGTCAAGTTGGAGAAAAATACAGGTAGCATTCTGGATAGCAGGTCAGACAAATGAATATATCAAAATATCCTTGAAAGAAATACAAGTCGTTCAGGCTTTATTGACTCCCCATGAGAAGCCACATTTGTTTGTTATAAGGTAAGAGATAGAGATGCCAAACTTGTACTGTGTCGTGCATTAACCCAGCATGTAAGCCCTATGTTTTTGAAGATTAAGAAAAAGACATGCATAGAAATCATCTTATATTTAACTAGCTAAAATCACTAGTAACTTGTTTCAAGGCAAAATCAGCTATAGTTCCTTGCCTTCAAGCAAACAGAAGATAACCTCAAAGCATTGAATGTTACATGACTGAAGCTTTTACAGGTTGGTATTGTCCATGTTATCGTTTGCTACAAATGACTGTTGCTCAGATATACTGTCAAAAGATTTAAGAACATAAGAGTATTTTTTGAGTACTGCAGAGCACAGATGGGATAGTTATAGTTGTTCTGCAAAGCGTATCTCTGAATTTCATGGATCTTGTTCAGTCAGCTGGGAAAAGACACACTGTCTCTGTGAGTGCCCAGTTTTTTCAAGCTCAGTTTTCATAGCTGTATGTACAAAAGAATTGCAAATAGACTACAAGTCAGTTTTAACAATATTGTATAATAGCCTTTAATTTGGTGGTCAGAAAATCATAGGAAATGCTCTTCCCCTAATCTTGCCAGTACATCTCCCTGAACTTCCTCCCAGTAACCGCATCATATTTGCTGCCCAAATCACTGTAGTTTCTTGGACTACACATCCAAGTGGCTGACTGATAACTGTTGAAGAATGTCGAGAAATGTAGAGTAACTGGACTGATGAATGAGCATCGACAGTGTAGCTAATCCTTGATGGCAGAAAGTCCATGTGAAGTGCTGGAATTTAAAGACATATGCATGAAAAGGCAATGGTAAACAGCATTATGTTGGCTTTTTCTAGAGAGACTGCTATAATAAAAGCATGCAGAAGGTGTGGTTTGCATCTTTCTGCTGAATAACAATAGTTATTTTATTGCTTTTAAATGACAGTGTGCCTATAACCTCGTATTCATGTGCCTATAAACTTGTATTCACTGGTGCTTCCATGGCACATGAGTTTTGAGTAGTCTGAAGAGTATCTGAGATGGAATTTACAAGTACACTGATATCATGAAAGGAGAAGACTTATGAATATTACATGTGAATCTACTAAAGTAATCTTGAATTCCTGTAGCCCTCTTAGCTCAACCAGAATGCAACAGTATACATTATCTGAAGCAAATTATTTAATGTAATGTGTCTGCCACAAAGACAGCATAGCTGAGCTTCTGAATACAAATCATAAATATTAATAGCTGGACCTCAGGAGAATCCTGCTGATTTGTTAGGCTCCTAACTCAGGAACTGAAGTTTGAAGGAAGTGCCAATGCAATCTGATGCGAAGTGAAACAGCTGAATTTTGCACACTGCTTCTGAAGCAATAAAGCAATGATAGATGTAGTAAAACACTTCTAAATGCAGCCTTGAGCTAGTCTAGCTACTTTTCAGTGTGTGGTACATGTGAAAAACCATCTTTAGACAGGTTCAGTAGTATTCTTTGGCACACTGGCATTGTTATAAATTGTGCCTTGTGCCTTTTATGTTTATGTGGAAGCTGTTTGCATGTTAGTGTTTGTGATGGGCCAGCTTCAAAAGGTTTGGAATTCCAGCTTCAGCTAAGCATTTAAAAGGTCAGAGGCTTGTCCAAGGCTTATCCAACCTCTCAAGTATGAAAACCCAAAGAGGAAACTGTCTGATGGGAATAACATAATGCCCTCAAATGGAGCCAATCTTGTAACCCCTTTTGTTTCTTTTTTTTCTCACCTCTATCTCCTTTCTGTGCTGTTCCTGAGGTAGAGTCATCCCTAAGGCCAGCCCTTAATGTCCTCTTCAGCCATACATTTCTTTAGGACTGATTGCTTGAACAACTTGCAGAGACACTAAATCAGGTCTGCTGTTTTCAAGTTTCTATCCGTCTCCCCAGGACTGTTTTATATCTGCTGCATTATGTGATTTTTTGTGCTCTTTTATTATTTTTTACATAAACGTCTGATTGAAGGAATACATCTTACTCCTGCAGTGGAAAGCCAATAAGGCTGGTGGTTCCTGCATCCAGCAGAGCTTTTTTGTAGTTCTGTAGAGGCTGCAAAGGAAATTGTGTCTCCCGTCCAAGAAAGTTTGCCCTTACCGTAGGCAACTCTATTGTTCCTCTGGGAACGCACTGGGAAAGCGCTCTCCACTTGCCAGTGTTATTTTGGTGTGGAAAAGAGAAAAAGGGAAAGAACAAAATTAATTAAAAAGAAAAAAGTCTTTTTTTTTTTTTTTCTCAGCCTTTATGATTAGGGTTTTTTTTGGTATTTTCTCCTTATAACTAAGGTGGAAATAATGCCACAAGAATTTCCTTGGTGGCATTTTGGTGCTCTCACCTGGAGCCGCTTCTAATAGAGGGAAAAATTAACAGAACTCTTTAAAGGCTCAGTTAGGCTCAATTCAGGATTCATACAACTTTTGGATGAATTTGAAATCCAGACCTGCACACCCTCAGTCTTCGGTGAATTTGAAGTCTCTCTCTGAAAACCAAATTATTGGCAATCTTTTCTCCTCATAAAAAAAAAAAAGGCTTACACAAAGTACCTAAGAACAGCAAGGTATTTAAAACCTGATTCAGCACTTTACTAGCTGAAATTGAGTCTGGGGAGGTCCAAGGCTATGGTGGTGCCATGTGGGATAGGAGTGCTCTTCTGCATCCTCCTGATGTAGGCAAAACACCCTGTTGCCTGCTTTCCTGTTGCTAGCTCTGCCCTGTTTCTCCTTAATTCTCCTGGCAGGGCTATGATGATGATGATTATTTTTAATGCCAACTATTTTCTAGTTGCTTTTTGTTCTAGCTGTTCTTTCTGTCACCCCAAAACTCATGTGAATCCAGATTGCTGAAGGCTGAGCCCCTTTGCCTGCTGTGCAGGGTTAGCAAAGCAAGCAAAGGCACTTTGACTATGAAACCATGGGCACTGTGAGAAAACAGCACCCAAGTGGAAACAGCCACCATGTCTAGGAAATGTTTTATTCTATGAAAGGAGGTTAGAATATTGAGAGCCACGAGTTTCATGCATAAGTTCATTCAGAAAGTGTAAACAATGAGGAAAATTGTTCCTTCACTGATATTTGCTTTTCTCTTTTCTGGGTGGAAGCCTTAAGCCAATGTGAATTACCGTGACGGGGAAGGCCTGCCAAGATCTCTTTCTGAATAGTACTAAAATGTCTCTGGAATCCATTCTGTATGAGGAAAGCACAGACAGTACCTTTCCTCCAGCTCTCGCAAGCTAGGTTGGTAAATAAAACATGCGACCGCAAAAGAGCTGGAGGGAGGGAAGAAAAAGGGATACAACCATCAGGCAACCTAATTGAAGGAATGGACACACACCAGCAAGTCCATGGCCATCCACAAATGATATCATATTTTAAAAAGGCTACTTTACTGAAATATTTGTGACAGAAATGTGGGTGCCTGTAATAAGTGTGCTATGCTGCCAAAAGAATGCATCGTCTTAAAAAAATATGCCAAGTAATAGGGAATTTGTGGCCATTTATCTTATAAACCTGTTTCCTGTTCTAGAACTCAATGGGTCAGAAATTCACTGCTGTAAACTGCACAGATCTATTGGCTTCTAATTTATAACAACTGGAAATAGGGTCTAAAAGGAGTCTAAGCAGGGTTTGACAAAATTATTTCTTTCTGTAATGCTTTTCCTCTTTCTATACAGGACAAATAAAAACTGTATCTGAAATGGGGAATTAACTGTGTGGGACTGACCTAAGCTAATTTTCTCCCTTACATGTGTACGCTATGGAAGGGTGTTTTGAAAGAGCTGTTTTGGCATTGGGTTGGTGCTTTTTTGAGGCAGAGGTGAGAAATCATTTAGGAGATTATATGACTGTGTTTCCAGATACAACAGTCCCAGCTTTAGCCTCAGGTGGGGGAGTTTTCCATTTCCCTCTCAGCTTATATTAAATTACATTGCTTTCTTGTCATAGGAGTAATCCTTTGATGAGAGAACCTTGACGGTGTTTCAGAAGAGGAAGAAAATCCGCCTCTGCAGAGTCACTAGAGACTTTGCCTATTACTAATTGATTCTACACGGAGAGCACGCAGTGGTGACAGCCATCAGTCTGAAACGGTGAGACAAAGCATTTCTGACCTGCTTTGAAGTGCTGAGTGCAGGAGCTCTTGGAGATGTAAAAAGTTTCTCTTTGCCTGCTGAGGTCTTCTGTGCCACAGGCAGTGTCAGGGTGATTTGTTCTGTGCGTGTTGGGAGGGATAAGGATGGGGACCTTGGGGGATGCCCTTCAGGTGTAGCACTGAAGTCCCTGCTTAGGTGGAGAGGGCACTCAACCCCAGGGTTTTTCTCAGTTTTAGACTGATCCATGCAATAATTTGCAGTGCCCCTACCTAAGGGCATTTCACTCAGAAATTTATCTAGTGGAACAATCAGCTACAAGTGCAAAATCGTCATTTGTTTTGCCTGGTTCTGGTAGGGGAGATGCCCAGTGGGAATGGAGCTATGCTTTCAGTTAATTCAGGCTATGTCCCAGGCATGGGCAGCACGGACATGGTGGGAGAAGCCCCTGTGGCAGCAGCACACAGCACAGACACTGAGGCAGAGGAGGCAGCACACCAGCAAGGCTCTTGAGGCAGAGGATCCCACTGCAAGCAGCCTCAGCTGCAGGGGCTGGGCCAGGCAGCCCAGTCCACTGCAGAGGTTGCCCAGGCAAATCTCAGTAGATGCTACCCAGACTTCACATGCTGCTCTCACAAATCAACTACAACTGTCTCCACTGGCACTTGCAAATGGGTTGTCATCTGTCCTCTTCTGCAGATGTGGCTGGAAAGGTTTTCCCAGCCTTATACAGAGTTTGCAGGGGTCCCTTTGGTCTGCTTCAGTCCTTTTTCTAACATGAAGTGGAGGAAGAACATTTTGATTTTTGTTACAAGGCAATGAAGTCATCCTTCTTTGGGAAAAATGTTGCTAACCTACCTCCTGTCTGCTGCAGCCTGGTGCAGTGCAATAGCAAATTGTTTGCCCTTGCGCAGTATTTTATCAATCCCCGAAGGATGGGCATCATCTCTGACAGCAGTGGTTTGCCAAAGAGGAGAGATGAAACCTATACATGCCATGGAAAGTTGTAGCCTGTCTTCATTCCCCTTCTGTAAGTGAGACAGCCTACAGTGCACCTCCAGCTACACCTCCATGAGGATATGGGAGGCTGGGGACGGGTGAGCAGTCCTGCTGCTCCAGTTGGCCAGTTTGCTGCTATAATCCAATGTGCTGTGACAGCCCTTTGCTAGGTTAGCAAAGAAAATAAACACTTTTAAGAAACTGCTGCTGATCCAGGAGATGAAACTGAGAAGCTGATAATAGTGAGCGGTTATGAATGGCATATGATGGTAATGCAGTACCTTGGCAGGCTCCCCTCAAAAGAAAACAGGACATTCCTGGCACACCAGGTAACACTTTACTTTAGAGTTACTGCCACAAAAGGCTGATTAACTTCTAAAACACAAACAAATTCCCCTGTGCCCCGTTGTGAGGACCAGATAGCAAAAAATTCAGAGGTCCCATACCTTACAAAGGGGGCTCCTGGAAGTATGAACAGTGATATGTTTAGCAGGGTCTGACCTTTAGCTTTGGAGTTTGCATTTGTTCGTTGTACCTGTGTTATTCCATATAGTTAAATGAAACTATAAATTCTGTGTTTGTGTTCATATAACCTACATGCATAATTTGAGTGAAATGTCACTGAATGTTGGTAGGCTTATAAAACAGACTTTTGCTTGAAAATGGAGTTTGTGAGGAAGTAATAACTGATTGCACTCAACAGTCTTGCATGATTTCAAAATCTAGATTTGAGCCTGTATATCAAAAACATTTGCCTTGGACTCATTCCATGTCGATTTTTATTTCTTATGAATGCCATGATTTAAGAAGTTCCTTCCCAATCAGTAGGCTTGAAATTAACCATAGAGGTCACGTCTCAGGAATTTCAGAGTTCAACTGAAAGATGTTTTCAACAGTAGTATTTTAAATTACCCTTGTTTTGTGATCGTCTCTTCTGAGCTCTGCTGCCATTATGGAAAGCAGCACAGGCTGTGGAAGCTGTGTCATGGATAGAGTACACCAATAACCAAAGTTTACAATGAACGGGAAATTTTGGTGGTTTGTAGTTTTATCTTCCAAAAATAAGTGCAACAAATAAATAAGTAGATACATTTCAGCAAAACTGAAAATTAGTGATTATTTTTATCCCTACTAAAATTTCCATTTGCCTACCAATAATTTCAGTCAGTCACGCAGCTCTAACTCTGACCATGTGAGATTTCTTTCTCAAAAGTGTTTGCTTTATATAGTATTTATTTCTGTTAATAAAGACATCAAAATACCTTGCTTGAAAGGGAAAATACTTGGTTTGGAATTGAAGTCCTCTGCTACTCTATAGGCATGAAAGTTGCCTCTGGGGGTAGGCTCTCCAGTCAGCTGATATTCAATGTGCTGTTTGGCCAAGAGCTTTTCCATAAAGCTCATCCGCAAAAGGGGAAATTATTGTACCAGAAGTTGTCAGGTGAAGCTCCACATGTACTAAGGAAGTGTATTTTTACAGTGTATTGGACTTTGCTGTGTGATGCCCTCAGGAGAAAATGTGTTGGAGGGAAAGATCTTCCCATGCATGCTGCCTGCCTCCTCTTGGCAACCTGCTTTTCTATGGTGCTGGAAAAGAAATACCTTTTGGAAATGTCACTGTTAGAAGCAGTTCTGCCATCTTGGAGAGATCACCTTCTTTGTATGCTGTGTGGAAACAACAGAGAACTTTATCAATTTATATGCTATAAATTGAGTTTGATTATGAGATATATTTTGTTAGAAAACTGAATCTGGCTTTATAACACAGAATTTTTCACTAAGCAGTTATCAAAACCCACAGTCATAGATAATTTCACAGTAAGTAAACATCCCTGAACAAGTCATAATTGAGATAATAACGTAATAATATGTAAATAATACTGACTGAACCCTAAGATATGTTTCGCCTCTTAAAATCTTAATCACCAACTTTTCATAGGAAAAAACACTTGCATATTTTGTCCTTTGTCAATTAATTTGAACTGACTTTCTGAACACTGTAATTAATGATTTCCAAATGATCAGGAGCTGCCTCTTCATTCTCTGCAGACATTTCTGAAACAAAACCCGAAGGTGTGAGCCCAAAGCTCCATTTGTCTGTGTGATTGATGGGGAAATAACCCAGAATGGCAAGTTTCACTCTGGATTTTTTGGTAAAGCAAGAAAAGTACAAAAACCAGGCTAATTTGCAGATCTGAGCACTTGTACCACCTACAAGTCTTACTTTACCCAAATCCCAACTGACAAGCTTTTGATTTCTACCTGTAGGCTACCAACAGTTTCTTAGGGTAAAAACTAGCAAGTCAGTTCTGCTCTAGTCACTTCCAGAAAGCCAGAGGCATTTGTACCTGTGATCAGAGGGGAAAGACTGAACTAGAGTTAAAAATCTGGGAATGGAAGAAACTGCACTGACAAATGCATTTGTAAGTTCTCTTATGAGTCCAGTAATCACACAAGCTCGTTGCTCCCTTATGAACATCTCAAAGAGCAGAATTCCCGACCTCTGTCACTCTCACTCCCACATCTCTTCTGCATAAAGCAATAATCCTTTTACATTAATTATTGTAGAATGTCCTTGCTCCTCCTCCGCTTGCCAGCTGAATTACACATCTGGGATCTCTATAATAAGAGGGGAAACTGCTCCTGTCAGACCTTAGTTGACCTCTTTGGGAACTGGGTTTCTATCCTATCCTGTCTTTCCCTGACATTTGTTTTATCTGGGGATCACAAATAGCCTCAATGGTACCTAAGAGGGGTTCACCTCCTCTGCCTCTTTTAGTCTCAGATGTCCAGCTGCTCCTCAGCTTTCTTCCAGATTCAGGCCTGTGCCCCTCATGTGCCGTCCTATGCAGGGAGATGCTTTGGTGATAGCAGCCACCATGAACTAGCACAGCTCCAAGCAGTGACCCAGCCATGTGCCTTCTCAGCCTGAGGGGCTGGAATTCCTTCCCCTGATCTAAACTACAGCAAGTTTTCATTCTATTTTAGCAGCAACAAAAATGCAGAAAACATCCCTCAAATTACCCATCCCTTGCCTATTAACATGCCTGTGTCCTAGCAAAGTGCAAAGCCAAACCAAGGCTGCTGAAACTACTCATTAGAGCTTCATTGCACTACGGCCGCAGTATTTGCGGTGAAGTGACCAAGTGGCTTTTGGAACTTGCCAATGGGATGCAGATACTTGGATCTATAAGTCATTTGTTCAAGTAGTCTTAGTCAACAGTAACCAGAAGTGAGCGATTAGTTACAGCCCTTGTTGTCCTCTTAAGAAGAATAGGTAATCACATCTGCCTTCCTGATAGTTCAGCTGTCTCATCTGAAAAGCACAATTACTCAGGTAAATGGTAGTCTTGTTGCCTCTCTCAGTAGAGCCTGAAGATATACTGAGGACTCCTTAGTATTTATCATTCATTCATTCATTCATTCATTCATTCATTCATGTTGTGTCACAGAGCTGAATTCCTCAGAAGTGTGTATGAACTTAAAAAGGCTGCACAGAATGGAGTGGAGATGTTTTTCAAATGAATGTTAACAAATCTCATCCCAAATTTCCACTGCTTGGCTTTAGGGACCCTTTATTCTTAGAGCTTTCAGCAATGAGCATCCTCAAGCAGTCTGAGGCAGCTAGACAGGGGAGGTTTTGGCACTAGCAGATGGACAGCTTGTTTGCCCTTCCACGTCTGGCTCACACAAAAGTCTCAGGATGTGATTTCTTCCTGAAATCAGGGAAAGGGATTTTGTGGGACTGGTACCACAACACGCTTCCAGTGTTTCAATGTACTATACTAAAGGGAAAAGAGAGGATACGGGAGTACAGATGCCAGGCTTCTTGGGCTTATGCATGCTTAATGCTGGGAGTCACTCTAAGAGGCTTGCTGTAGAAAAGGGTGGTGGATATGTGATTTTGGGTTGACATTCAGGTCAGCCCTTGTTCTAGATGTGCCCTATGTCTTTGAGTCCCTAAGTATTTCTGAAAATTCTGAGCATTATTCATTTCCTCA